CCGTAAGTCATAACAGGGATGGCTGAAGAGAAAACTCGTCGAAGTTTGCTAAATGCCGCCCAACCCAACTGAACCCTGCGATCGACTTCTCGCTCGAAGTTGTTTTTATCGAGCTTGATTACTTGGCCTTGGTAGATATACTCCTGAACAACTTCAAGCATCGATCCTTCGAAATACATATATCGGACTTGACAGAACATGTTCATTGAACATTACTTTGGTTTTGTTCAAGTTTATGCCAAGACCGACCCGTCGTGAGGCTTCATTAAGGCCATACAGCATCCCGCTTAACTGTTCCAGCGACTCTGCTATTATGACGATGTGCTTGAAACCGATGACAAACCGAAAACAAGCGGCAAACCCAAGATGCGAGATGTGCTTACCGTTCACGTTTATACCCTGTCCAACCCAGTCCAGAGAGCTTTTAATTACAATGATATTAAAAGGCTATTAAACCTAATATTACAACCAATATATATCAAAATATATATATCAAAATTGTACACGTTCTTAAAATATCTAAAAAACTTAAAATTATCAAAACACTAAAATCATTTTTAAACTAATTAAAAAAAGGTGCCTGTCCTAAAACAAAAGAAAAGGGTTAATAAAATCACAAAAAAAAATAGTATAAAATACCATTGAAACATCTAAAGCAAAGTGAAGTTACCTATAACACCAGTCTTTAATTTGACGACTCAAGTAGACGCAAAATAAAAACATGACCCTACAATACCCAACTCAGTACAAAATCATTATTAGAAAAAAGTCAGTTTTATTTTTGAATCTACAAATATAATTTAATGCACTATTCATTACAATTTTCTAAATTAATACATAATAGAATAAATTAAATTTTATTTTGTTCATACATCCGCGAAATGGTAAAATATGTTTTTCTTATACATTGTATAACAAATTGTAAGTTTTAAGCGAAAAATGTAACATATTATGTGTTTGCTTGTCATTAATCTACGAATTTGTATACGGTTTACGTTATATGAACCGAATGGTTACATATGTACATTGTATATGGCTTCACCGGACTCGTCAAATTAACTAAATAAACTTTAACTTTTAAGTGTAAAGGTACAAATAAAATGTCTTTTGTGTGTTATAGACAATTGTTATAATATATTTCTTGTTGGTCAGTCTTGTATATACAGGGTGACTGGTGAATTACTATCAATATTTAAGGAGAATACTCGGTACATGATTCTCATTCGAATTATGTAAAAAAAATAGGTATTTAATTTTTGACCAAATTTCCGTATAAATAAATAAAGTGCGGACACGTTCCAAGTGTTCCAAGTGTGGACGCGTGCGGCGGCGTGCTGATACAACACCACGCCGCCAAAAGCGCGTGTGTGTGTGTGTGTGTGTGTATACCTAATCTGTAGGGTGTTCACACGATGCGTAATTAATTACATAACTTTTGGTTAACTTTACTTAGAAGTTTATTAATATTTATGTTATATTAATTTTTATTTTGTCATATATGATCGTCAAATATCACGTCCTCAAGTATCGATAGTAATTCACCAGTCACCCTGTATAATAAAGAGTCATTGTTTTTTAAATGAAATGTATTAAAGAATAGAATTCTTTCATTTTATATAAGACATTTCTCAATGAGTTTATGTCTCGGAGATAGAGAGAGTCAGCTGGTTTGCAATTTTAAAAATGTTCATGAACTTCGGTCGTTTTTTAGTGCTAAGTATTGAACCTCTTTATGATATTCTGTTTGAACTACATATATATATTTAACTTATTTTTTAATTATTTTTTTTCCGATTGAACGTATGTTTTGTGTTTACCGTATCGTAATTGAATGCACTTGAGCGTGGAGAATAATACTTCGTTACAAATATTTAAACAATAATATTTTAAAATGTTCAAAACACATATTATATAGACAATTATTATAGGTAATAAATAATAACTTAATAATATGTATAAAAAAACAGCAGCTCTTATAAAAATTGACTTGATACTCGATATCTCTGAAGTCGCATAAATAAAACATCTAGATTATTTTCATGTTTTAATTATTTAATACGATAAATGAAGTTGTACATAAAATATAAAGTAAATTGATATAAAATAAAAATTTCTGCTTGGAAATTGTGTTTTGTTGGTAATATTTACATTCAATATAACAGGAGTATTTATAAAAACAAACTTTTTAATTTTTCAATTCAATAAAAACATCGAAAAGTGTACTTGAAGATTGTGATAGAGTTTGTAAAATTGGTTTTCAGTGTATTTATTGCTTTACATTTTCAAATAGGGAGATAATTATAATTAATGAAATCACTCAGAAACAATTCATGAGCGATTTGATTACTAATATTAAAAAAAAAATGATAACTTAAAAATGACACTTGTGATAAACTGTGGATTTAACGGTTGTCTACACAAATGCCTCATATAATCGAAAAAAATCATTCATTTTTGACACAATAAGAGATATTTCTTAGTTTTTCTCAAAAGAAATTTAAGAAATGGAATAGGAAATATTATTTATTAATGAATGCTACGAGAAACTCATCACACTTTTTTGTATAAAGTTATTCTTTTAATGTCAAGCTTGCATTTAATTTTCGATTTAAATAGAACTGACAGCACAATAAGCTATGGCGGCACTAAGTAGATGGAAATGTTAAGTTCAGATGAAATTTATTTATTCTTCGTTACAGAAAATAGACAATAGTGCTTAAAATTCAAATATTAATTGAAGTGATTCACTGATTCGTGAGGCTAAATAGTCGTCTCTAAGAAAGGTTAGATTTATGTTACATACGTATGTATATTACTTTCTGTCTGATTATAAAAAATATAAAGTTGTATTAAAAAATTCAATTTTGATATTTTCGAGTTACAAGTAGGTATTTGAGATCCTTAACAAATAATTAATATTAATATTGGATACCATATCATCATGTACAAATTCGAAAATAGCTGTGCAATTTTGATGGACCCAAAACGTTTAAAAAAATTTATAACTCAGACAAATAGTTAGTTTCAAAGTTAGGTGATATAGAGGGCACGTGGCAAGGCATGTATGAAAGCTGAAACTGGTCGTTGCGCGTTTTTAAAACAAACTAAAGACGCGTTACGAAACAATCCAGATGGCAAGACAGCGTACGTGGTTCGCATAGTCTGCTGTTGTGTAGTATCGGGCTAGCGTTATTGAATATTAATAGATGATATCTTTAAAGATAGTTGGTATATAACCCATCCAAAAAAATCTTTTATTGAATATACGTACATATATTATCAAATACTTAAATCTAGATTAATAATGTGATGTAAAATTAGTTTCAATGAGCAACTTTTCTTTATTAATCGTTTTTCAGTAGCAGAAAGTGTTGTTGATATATTTTATGAATAAGAATTTGTATCATTTAGTATATATTTTTTCGTTTATATTTAAGAAGAATATTTTGTGTTTAAAATTCGAATATAAAACTTTTGTTAAAAGTTTTACGTTTATTAAAATTAATTCCGGAAAATATTCTAAAATACAAAATTCTCAGAATAGTAAGTTATATTCTGAGAAATAAGAAAATTGTTTTATGTTGGAATACAAGCTTAAAATAGTGACTTCAATCTTAAAAAGTTTATTGAAATATTTTGTTCCCATTAATATTAAAATAAATTATATCATTGTATTAAAAATGAATATAATAATACACAGTAACACAGAACACATAATTTTACACTTTCTTTCATTAGTATTTGGAAATCAATCAACTCACATGAGTAAAAAAATAGGAAGATCCTTAAAGTTATAATGTAATGTTTAAATTTAAGATATGATTTTATTTTTCAAATGCTATTAGAATATGTATTTTAGATCGCTAGGTGTGTTGTCTATGGGTCGTCGAGCCTATACTAACGCCAAGATGCCCACTGAACGTGATACGAATTCTCCATTTAACCAGCTTCCACTGTTTTAGATTGCCCTATATTAGAAACGTGTTCACCCACATTGAAAAACAATTTGCTATCAATGGTATTAATTTTTACATTTTTTGCAAACTTACTAATAATAAAATATCCCACTGTCTTTTACGAACATAAATTTTATTAGTTTTTTTGTAAACTATCTCAACACTTGTGTACGACCGTGTAATATTATGAACACATAATTTAATTACATGTAAAAGCATTTTAAACGTAATAAAATTTATCAATTTTTCTTAAAAGACGTTAAATATTAAATTATTTTTAGCACATACCTACTTATCCTTACTTTAATATTATTATAAACATAATAATTAAATAAATCTTCATATAAAGAATACGTAGTGACGTAAATATTTATATTATCCAAAGTGTAAAGGGTAAATCTTTCATACATAAAATTTCTAAAATCTGGCTTTTTGGAACTTGTTCTATTTAGTACTATATAGTATAGTGTTAACCATATTGTCTCCGACAGCCTCTTTGCATACTTCTTCATAGAATCCAAGGTCATGAGATAATATTAAACAGGACTTGCTCAATGGTATTTCAAATGGCATTTCAAATGGCATATATTCTCAAATTTATAATAAAATTGAGTGGGACTACCCTTGGCAGTAAAAAGAAATGCTTGTGTTTTGTTGCCTTTAAGATTTTTATGGCACCATTTGGAGATATTCTCAATTGTGTTATTTTTCAATGTGTATAGAACCAACATAAAGATGTAATTATAAGAAATGAGTCAAAATAAAGAACACTTTTATGGATATCGTCTAAGTTTTTAATTATAATTTAAAATATTCAATTTTTAACTAAACATGTACAAAATCTAATACTTAAAGCTTTCAAACTATACAGATACAGCACACACGATCACACTTAAACACGTTAGTCATTTTTAAACAAAAGAAAACATATATCACTAAAAGGGAAGCTTAATTTGCGAAGAGTTAGTTTGTTCTCTAAAAATGTAGTGACAAAACACTTAGCAATCGAAAGTTTATTTCTCTTAACATTCACAACTTAAACAGAGCGGAGAAAACGTTTAATGAAATCTGCATAAGTCCTCAGACGAACAACAAAGTCGGCAAAGACGCATTCTGCATTTCAACTGATGGATGGGGAAAGAAAAATGGAGAAAAGAATTTAAATGCAAAAGAAACGGGCGACAATCGAGGCGAGAGATGCAATCAACATCTCATTAGTCAAGTCCTTAATTCTCTCCCCAGGGATTAGCCTGATTTCTTCTATAAACCACTTTTTACTTGTCTCGAATATAATCTTCATTTGATCGGTGATTATATTGACTTTTTTATGCTGATTAATATCGAATTGAGTCGCGAGAAGTTTAATGAGCTCCGGTTCTTAGTCTATCTTTGAAATATAATTTACTTGTATCATAAGAAACGAGCCTGTCAAATCGTAAGCTTATTTCTTTGAAACGGTTGGATCTTTGAAGTGGATGAAAAGTAATACATTAAGTTTGCAAATGACTTTATTTAGTATTCGTTGAGTAATGAGATATCTTACGATTTTATGATTTTCTAGTATTTTTTAAATTATCCAGATTTCAAATTACTGTATAATACATATACAATATATTTCAAACCTAGCAATCATTAATTATTATTTGTTTACAAAGAAATCAATTATTTATAGTAGATTGTTACTACAAAAGTTTTTAAGTGTGTTGTAACTTTTAAAAACTTTATACACATGGAACCAGACAGATCCCTATTATCTAAATTGAAATCGGCAGTTCTTTTTCAGAAAGTTTTATTATGATGCGTCACTTAACGATGAGATGGAATGATAATGGATAAACATGTGTGTATAAATGATCTGACTAAAAAGAATACTTAATCAGAAAAAAATCTGAAAAAGATCATGAATTATTACAGAATTTAATATCACGTTTTCTCATTTTTATACAGTAAGTAGTTTTCAGAGTTTTTTTCAATTTCAACCTTGAGAATACTAAGTAAGTATTAGGCTACTAGTGACGGCACAGAGTAATTTAATGAGATAACCAACTAAAGTTGGTGATCGGTTGAATTACAAGTAAATACTTAAATTAATTAATTTGTGTTATTTTTTATCTACCTTTCCCCTAAGTTTAACTTATATTTGATTTGTTAAAATAAATATAGAAAAAAGCATTCAAAAATATACAAGAGCTTTTTGTTATAGAGGATGGTTAAAAACAAAGGATTTTTCTTCACATGATTTATCATGGCTGACTTGTATAAGATAATATGTATTGTCATCATTATTACAAATCTGTAGCAGGCCTTCAAATCTATATAAATAAGGCTTTATTAGTTTATTACTTAAGAAATAGGTTAGAAGCTTAGAAGTCCCGTAGATGTCCTGAATTCTATTCAGTCTATTCATTAAACAATAAAGACTTTATTACTATTAGTTATTTTTATTTCGCTAAGTGTTGTAATTGAACTTGCCCACTTTAAATTTTATCTGAAACCACCTTGTACATTATTACCTTGCCGTTTCATGATTTCGTATACTTGTTTTTATTTTATTTTAACTGCTTTTGGAGCAGAAAAATATGGTTTTCATTTTAAAAAACTTTTGGTTTTATATTTTGCTATTCATACGAAGGGTATGGTTGAATTTTGAATAATTCATATTTAGTTGCTGACAATATTTAATTAACTATCAATTAGGATGCTCCAAACAAAGTATTTGACTAGAATAAAATGTATATGATTCAATGGCTGAGGCTAATTTCTTACATACTTTTGCATTTTTAATATGCTATACGAATATAAACGACCTGAAAACTTACAACAAGTGTTGGCAAAATTCAGTCAAACATTTCTTTATTGAATAATTTGTGTTTATAGTTTAACAATGTCATTAACACTTTTCTAAATATTTACACGAATTTTATATAGCTTCTAGAAACCGTTAAAATTTAAGGAAATAATGCAGCAGGGTAAAAGATGTAAATTACTCAGTAGGGTATCCCAAGACGCAAATTTACTTCGTAATATTTTATTCATTGTCTGACTGGCTAGTAATAATGACTGAAGAGACGGAGGGATAAGTTTCGCCGTGAATATTTTATGTGACGTATTAAATTTTTGTACAGTATACGAACGATGTAAAACTTGGAAGGGACTTTCGTTCGTACCATTTCATAGAATAAAGTATAATTTAATTTGATAAAATTACGACTTCAACTAGATTTGCAATCTTGTATACTTTGTGATAATAGATTTTAAACAAAAATATGATTTTGATTGGGTCTGTTCCCTAATTTTTTTATTTATTTAAAGTAAATTTTGTTATCAGAATAAAAATCCCGAAAGTGTCTTCAATTGTGTTTGTTATTCTTTCATACAACAATAGAATGTTGAATCATCATGAATTTTTAGAAAAACTATGTTTCTTGATTTTGGATATTCAATCTCTTGTATATTCAATCTTTCATTTTATTTTGCAACAAAAATAGATCCAATTGTAGTCCTTCAGTTTGGAAACAAATTATGTATTTGTGTAGGTCTTTAATAAAATAAAAATAATAAGAAAATTTTGATATTCGCTCATAGGTTCGTACGATAACTATTTATATATATTTAACGAAATAAAACCGATATATGTGTAAAACATATATAATTTGTACATTGCGGTCAAATGCAATAAGTTCTTTTTTAAACATTTTCAAATAATTTACATATGTTTTATATATTATATATACATATATTTTGTATATTTTTATATTATGTTTTATATATTTTTTGCACAAATGTGAAAAAAAATCATTTTCATAATTACTTTATAATTATTCGTCATACTTACTTTCCAGGAAAAAATGCAAGGAACATTTTTAAACAAACTTCTCATTATTTTGCACATCTAAACATTGTTGCTTCCATCTCAGTTTGTGAATGAATGCTCTTAAAGTCCATATAAATAATTTTAGGACACTTTTGCGAGAATATTTAAAACATTTACCAATCAACTTTGTGAAATAATTTTATTAACATATTATTTTTTTAACATTTACGATACTGGCTTTGTTAAATAATGTGGAATAGTATACTGTTTATCCTTATTTATTTTGCAAGATATGTTTTAATTTAATATTTGTTGTTAAAAACCAAATAAGATGGTTTATTATTATAAATTAAGGAAAATGTATTACAGTATAAACCAGGAACGTAATATTTTGGCAACTTCATTCAATAAACTTTAATTTGATGAAGTGGGGTGTGGCGGATCGTTGGCTTGTTTTTAGAAAGTTGTTTATACCCGGTTCCGTGTTGCATGCAACGGTAATTTGTGAGTGTCTCGACTTGCTAATTGTTTGAAATTGTATTTGCATTCACTATTACCTGAATTCTAGGCGCTGCTCTATAATTATAGTTTATTATGTTCGTAGTTTTCCTTGATATTTTGTTTTAGATTTTATTTATAAATTTCTACCAAATTAATACCATTGCTATCAGATTATGTAGAAAACAACAAACAGTAACATTTTAGTCAAAGGATGCAATTTTTTTACAAATGCACAAATCTCTCATCACGCTTGAAGTTAACTAATTTATGGACATTTATCTACCTCAACAATGGCGAAGGTTGAGTTCACGCGAAATGGCTTTAGTAGAGCCCCTTACAGAAATCTCCTTGTACTACAAATGGACGTAATGAAGTCTAAGAAGGAAAAAAGGAATTATTTTTTCTGAAATGAAAATATATAAACCATTTTTGATTAGGTGGTATTATGATGTTACAAAGTGGCGTAGTATAAACAATTGAGGGTTTTGTGTACTCTTCTTTGACAATTACAGTAATTTTACTGGAACGCTATATAATTGATCATATCTAAGAAATAAACAATCTTTCAAATCTTGACTGTATATCATAAAAGCCTTTAAGTTACAGAGTCAAGTAGAATATTGGATATATAAATCTACTTATATACGAGTCATACACGAGTTAGAGAAGTGAACTGAAATTTTGCAAAGAAATCCTACCTTCACCTTTGTATGCACCAGCATTGCATTGCATTCATTTTACAATCTTGTGAATTAAATGAACACACCTTTAGTGTAGAACGAATCGCAAGCGGAAATGAATATTGAAAAACACTGAGCTACAATTCCTAAATAAAGTTGTGGATTTTATTTGTGTAATCCCATTTTGTATATTTGAAAAAGTAGATATTAATATCCTTAAAAATAATAATAAGTTGTTAACCATTTTGTAATGGTTTTTATGTCCTTCGAAATGAAAGCTCAAGTGTACTTCTTCCCAAAATTTAATGTATGTAATAATCTATAGAATTGGAGCGAGACTTCTTTGTTTTAAGTCACCGTTGGTACTATTACTTTTTATTATGTGAAGAAATTGGTATGCGAGTAATGATTCCGGAGACAACAGTGAATGTGCAGTAATTTGTTTAAACTTAAATAATAACTTAATAATAATAATGTCTTTAATTGTTCGCCTTAGCTTTTCAACTTTTTTAATCTTTGTATAGAATATTTACAATTTGTATTTAAATTGTAGAATATTTAGAATAACATTTGCTACTATAGGATATAGAATAGGGTTATGTTTAGGGTACAATCTTTGGCTTGTATTATATAACTCTCCTTATTATAATATTTAAAAAATATGAGAGACCTGTAACGAGGCGCGATAGGAATTTGGATTCATTTTAAAGTTATAATAAAATATAATAACAAAATATTGTACGATGAATAAAGATGACATTTTGTAACTTGTTTTCAGGCATTGTTTAGGTGACCTATGACCCGCTAGAGTTTTGGAAGTTGGCCAGAAAGCCGCGTAAATTTTGCTCTACAAAACATTAAAGCAAGGGGTTATAAGTTAAATACGGACAGTGTAGCATGAAGGAACGAAATATTTATCTTTACCAAAAACTATGGACCGTTCCGAGAATTGAGGATTGTTTTGTGTTGGGGTTTTCAAACTACTTCATCGTTCCTGATCATTTAATACTTGACGATATAATTAGGTTAAGGTTTAGGTTTTAATAAGAAATCGTTTTATGACGAGTGAGAATAAAAATTTATTAACGATCGCATGTTTTTAAAATATGTTATTTTATTTTGTGAGAATTAAAAATTCTCAACAATAATCATTTCATCAGGACTTTTCACTCACGAAATGTAATATAATTTCATTTACAGCCCAAACATTTACTCTACGGATCTAAGTAAACACTATCTACTCTTTATTCAAAATAGTAAATATTAATTATGGGAACGTTTGAATTGTTGATATTTTTAATACTTAAATATGATCTCTAAAAATAACAATTTAGTACTTGTATAATAATTGAGTTTCATTAATTTAATTTACATAAAATATTTATGCAATTTTAAATATATAAAAATACTAGAAGACCCGGCGAACTTCGTGTCAAGAAATATCTCTTACGTTTTTTTATTCATATTTTTGGAGTTTACCTATTAAAGCCATAAATCTCCGTGTTTTTAAGTGCGACAGAATGAATGACATATTAGTGAGTTGTCAAATCTAACGACAAAAAAACGTTTGTATCAACAACTACTAATAAATTAAAAATTAATTAAAAAAAAACATTGTCCAGCGGACAAAATCGTGAATCTAAACCGTTCCCAGATCCCCTTGAACACACATAAAAAATTTCATCAAAATCGGTCCAGTCGTTTGAGAGAAGTTCAGTGACATACACACTCACAGAAGAATCATATATATAAAGATATATGTTTTACAATAGTAACAAATTATTCATGCATAATTTGAAAACTGGAGACATTTCAATATAGAAGACCACTTTTAACTTAATTATTTTTAATTCATGGCGGACGGCATACAGAAATAAAAATCATTGACATAAATTTCTATGCAGAGAGTGGGATAAATTGGGAGTATAGCTTCTTTAACCCTTTCAGACCTGGCGTACATAAATGTACACATAAAATATAATAAAAAAAATTGCTATTTATTTCGTTACAAGTGCAATTGAGAACGCTTGTATTCATATGTCCACATTATAAACTATATAAATGTATACTATTAACGCTATCTCTTAGCATTTTTTGTGACTTTTTCGACATGATTCGATCAGTGGCTGACCGAAGTTGGACCGATGTGGGTAAGCTCGTCATTTTTATTTCTAAAAAGTAGGAAATGGCTAAATATGCGCACTGCAAAAATATGAATTGATGTGTTATATTCCTAAGGTCATAAGTAACGTATAATTTGAGTTTATTTTTCTATTTTTGTATCAATTATCACAATTTTTTTATTTGTACACAAATGTACACATCAGGCTTAAAAAATGTTTTTACGATTGCTGAAGTATTTTAGCCGTATTTGCAAAATCTATTTTGAATATGTTTGTAACTATAATAATAATGTTTTTGTTGTTTATGTTATATAAAATATATGTTATATGTTAAGGTAAAATATTTTTTTTACAGTTTCAGAAAAAAAAACACCAATATGTTTTCACAGGATGCCTTGAAAGCCCTATGCGCTGGAACTCTTTCCGATTTGGAGCTATCGTCTGATGCCGAAGAGCCGTTTGGATTTACATCTGAAAGAGAGTTGCAGTCTGTCAGAGTAGTTGCAGATGTCATCAATCAAAACCAACGAGAGGTATTCCCAGCCGACACTGAAGAAGATGAGGGGCCTAGCTCATTGTGGATTAGGACGAATAATCCAGGAGTTACTGACACCTGCGATGAAGTGGTTCGCGAAGTACCACCGACAACAGAAAAAGAATCCTCTCATGAAAATATACTTCAGAATATAACGCCTAAACAGAACATTAGGTGGAGACACAAGGAACTCCTAAACAACAATAAAAAGCCTCAAGGATTTCCTCAAGAAGTTGTTTTGACGAAGATGTAACTGTGGTCAAGTGGCTCGATAATAAGATTACCTATCTTGCTTCTAATTTTGTTGGTATTGGTGAAAAAGACTTAGTCAGCAGGTGGTGTAAGAAAGATAAGAAATTTATTGACGTTGAACGCCCCGAAGTGGTCAGGAAATACAATCACGCAATGGGGGAGTTGACCTACTACATCAACGCATGAGCTACTACAGAACCTGCATAAAATCTAAAAAATGGACTCTTCACGTGATATTTCATGCTTCTGATTTAGCTGTAGTGCAGGCGTACCGAGAGTACCAAACTGACAATGCGCTGCTAGACATACCAAAGAATGAACAACTCAAGTTGCTTCAATTTCGTCGTCAGCTGGCTGAAAGTTTGGTGTTGAGGAATAAAATTATAATCGGTAATAGAGGACGGCCCAGTGGCAGTAGCCCAATACCGCAAATTATTTCAAGAAGACCAGGAGAGATTCGCCCTGTAGCGGATCTAGCAAAAGACGGTGTTGGGAATTTTCCTGCACATGATAAGGGACTTGGGACACGGTGCAAAATGGTTGGATGCAAGAGAGGAACCAGGATTAAATGTATAAAATGCAAAGTTCAACTTTGCCTTACCAAAGATAAAAACTGTTTCTTAGCATTTCGTACGTAAATTTATGAAACTTGCTTTTTGAATGTTCAAATGACTAATTTACCTATGTTCCAATTAGCTGCTATCCCAAAGAAAAAATCTTTTTTTTTGCTAATAATTATAAAAATTGTACTTAAGTTTTGTTAGTTTTTTATTTCCTAATAAAAACATTGAGAAATTAACTTTTTATAATTCGAATGAAAAGCCCCGAACAGCAGTCTTATCACTACGTAAGACGGATGTGCACATTTGTACACAAAAAGAAAAACGTTATTTTCTTAAAAACCTGACAACCAGGATTTTTTTCATAATTTTTTCCTAAGTCTTTTTACTCTACTCTAGCTTCATTTTTTTTTTAGATTCATTTGACACAAAAAAAATAATTCAGTTCTGAAAGGGTTAAATTTTGCCTGTTCCTTCGACATTATGTTTGATGAAAAGTATTCACAACAATCAAATGTGAGAAATATATGAATGTTCATAAATATTGGGTTGGCAACTAAGTCATTGCCGATTTCAAATAAGAAGGCAAATTCGGAATTTTTGTTTAAAAATATAACTTTATTCAATTAGATATTGGCCATTCTTGTCGATGACCCTTTTTCCATCGTTCTGGCTGAGTAAAAATTCCCCGTTTGTAAAATGTCTGGTCTTTGCTATTAAAAAACTGAATTAGGTGTGATCTGACATCATCCGCGTTGTTAAAAATTTTACCATTTAAAGAGTTTTGCATGGAACGAAACAAATGGTAATCCGAAGGCTCAAGGTCAGGGCTATATGGTGGGTGTGACAAAACATCCCAACCCAGTTCCAATAATTTTTGCCGAGTAACCAAAGATGTGTGGGGATTTGCGTTGTCATGATGGAAAACAACACCATTCCGATTTGATAATGCCGGCCGCTTTTCTTCAATTGCATCCTTCAGTTTTTCGAGTTGTTTAACATACACTTTTGAATTTATCGTTTGGTTCTGCAGCATGGGTTCAAAATACAAAATTCCTTTGTGATCCCACCAGACCGACAGCATAATCTTTTTTTGGTGAATCTCTGCTTTTGATACTGTTTGGGCTGGTCGATCTTGCTTCACCCATGATCTCTTGCGAGTAACATTGTTATAAACTATTCACTTTTCGTCGCCAGTGACTAGGTTCTTCAGAAATGGATCATTCTCATTGCGTTTCAGTGGCGAATCACAGATGCTAATCCGTTGTGTCAAATGAATTTCCTTTAACGGGTGAGGGATCCATAAACCAAGTTTCTTGACATAACCAAGGGTTTTTTATTTATTTTAATGCATGTATGCGACACATTGAGCTTCTCTGCAATATCTCGTGTTGTGCTGTGACGATTTGAATCGATAATGGCCTTGATATGGGTGTCATTCACTTCGACTGGGCGGCCAGATCGTTATGAATTTTTCAGTGAAAAATCACCGGAACGAAATCTTTCAAACCAATTTCGACACTGCCTTTCTTTTAAGGCTTTATCTCCATATACGGCACATAACTTCTTTTGTGCTTGCGATGCGTTCTTGCCTTTTCGGAAGTAATACAATAAAATGTGACGGAAGTGCACGTCCTGTTCTTTCATTTTTAAATTGGTATAAAAACAAAACTAAAGAACTAAACAACAAAAATTTTTTACTAATTAAACGTAGAAGCCCATATAGTAAGAAAAAAATATAGTTTAGATGCTCTGGCTACGTTAACAAAACGAAAGAAAGTGTAGAGTGAATCTATCAACAAAAACGGCAATGACTTAGTTGCCAACCTATTATTTTACATTCGCTTTCCCTATAATAAATTAATATGACTTTAAAATATGTGATTTTGTAAATTTGGAGTTAATTTACAATTATTTGGTTGCAATTACTGAACAAATATTAGAATTCCTAAAACAGTTCCGTTCAATTTGTGCTCGTAACAATGAGGTTAGATAAAGTGTTTATAGATTTGTAGGCAATTTCATGGCTTGTGAAGATGAAGCTGCATGTTTTAAATTAAACCTTAAAAAAAAGCCTAGTAAAAATGCGAGGGATAATAATCATTACTGCATTATAAATAGTAAGCAATCAAAGAATATGTTAATGTGTGACCTTTCGTTATCTAACAAGTGAAATATTTAAGCGATTTACACCCTAAAGACAAGAACAAAGTGCCGTATTATTGTATACTAAATGTAGGCTGGGGACAAAAAGATTTGTCACTGCAGTTAATGGGTACTCATATAGCGGTACTTAAACTAAAAGCTGGATTGTCACAAACGGTTTGAAGGTTATTCTTGGATGAGCAGAGACGTTAGATATTTTTGCTTGTATTTTTTTTATTTTAAAATTGATTAAGTTATTTTCAGCACTGAACAAAAATAAAATTTGTTTTCTTATTAGAATTAATTGTCAAATCCATAGGCTTTTTGAAATTGTTTGTGAGTAGAGAAACGAAAATTTATAAGTCCATCGTTAAAGCAAGTGAACTGTAGATATATTTGAAATCAATATAGTCTCAGTAATTTCAAGCGATCCAAATAATATTAACACTTTTTAAAGTAAATTTGATGAAATTTGTAACAACTTTTCATTTATATCTAATAAAACAGTTATATAAATGATTAATAATTGATATACATATTTCATAAGTTATTCACTCTCTCGCGATGTGCTATAACAACTTCGATATGTATAATGATAATACGGGCGTGTCTGATTTTTGTTTGATAGGATATAGTTTATTTCTTAATCGTAATATAAGTGCTTAAAATTTACTAAAATACATTCATGTAGTTTAATCAATTTTTTATGCTTGAAAATTGGAAAAAAAAATCTCAGAGAATGAAAATTAGAATTAGAGAAAGTTTAAATTATAATACCTAATAAAGAAAGAAAGTATATAAAAAAAAGTTCAAAAAGGTGACTTTAAAATAATATAATATATAAATCCTTGATATTGAATGCTGAATTATATTAAAATTTTAGAAATGAGACAAATTTTTAGAGGAATTAATGAATTTTTTCATTTAAATAACCAAGCTCTCGGTAAGTTACAGTTATTAAAGATCATTTTTTAAGTAACAAAAATATGCTAAAGTTTTTTTTAAACATATACAAAATAAAAATTAATTAAAACATTAGAAATTAACATCTTCAAGGACTTTGGACAAGACAAAATTATAACGTAGGAATCAAGTACCTTTCAAGCCCATACCATAGAACAATATTTAAGCTTATTCTAAAGAAACAAGTAAGGGTCCTTACATATGAAATTAGAGTTTTGTAATTTTTTGTTTTCAAAATATAGTGTATTTTTACTTAAGAATTTTTGCCATCTCATATGCAGTTCATTAATCCCTTTACTAAAATAAAATATTCGGATGGAAATTAATAAAATAATTGAAGGCGAAAAATATTTGAAAGCGCCTTGGAGGGCAACATCGGAATATTATTTTTTCTCATACAAGAAAATAGAAAAATTTCGAAAAAAAAGGTAATCTATTGCAGCAAGATTCGTAGAATACGGTGAATGTCTAAAATATTCCATTTGATAACTGTCTATTGTGCAGTGTGTGGTCTGACGTTATCCTAAAGCAGCAGTGGCCTACGGTGATCGACAAGCCTCGGATAACACATAGCTTTTCCGTCAAGCTCTGCAATTTTTGAAAATACACATTTACAGTAATCGTCTGGTCAAATTTAAGGAATCTGAAGTCAACAACATCTAATTAACTAGTTCACCAAACGTTCACAAGTAACTTTTTTGTATTTATTATCGCTTCCAGCAGGATATGGTTGATTCGAGAGGGTTCAGCCATTGCGATGAGCGTTTCCGATTATTGTAAAAGACCTACGTTTCATCAATTTAAAATTCCTTCATATGAAATGTTATAAAAGCATCGCTTTTATCAGATATTTCTCAAATATAGGTTTTACTAAACGATAAAATTTGACAATTCACTTCCGACCTTACTATAAATAATTTACAATAGAAGATTAAGATACAATTTAGGTTAGCAATTTCGCTGTTGCTGCATCTATTCTCAGTCAATAAAAAGTTGGTTTGTAAAAATCAGTTTGTTTCTTAGAATTTAATAAAAACTTATTCTTTAAAAATAAAAGTATGTAATATATACATATTAAGGTATGAAAGAATGTGCGTATATTTGCTATAATACAATAAAATAAAAAATAACGGTAAACGTCCTTAAAAGCATAATCATAAATATGTGTAACAAATAGTGTATAAAAAGATTATTATTATTAGTTGCTAGATTATCATGAATTGTATATGATGGAGGATTTAGCAAATTTTTATATGAAATTATTGAAATAAACATCAAATTAATAAATTCAACATTATTGCATAATTACCTATTAAGCACCAATTAGGCAATTAATGATATATAAATTAAAGGTAAATTAAATTAAATAAGAATTATTGAGTTAAAATACTGGTCAAATTAAAAATCCATGAAAACCACTACCTTGTTGTGATGGGGAGCTTGTATTTTTATGATCCCCAAGGTTTTGCCGACAGGTGTTAACAGGCCGTAACATGCAGGCCCAAGTTGAGATTCCATACTAAGTGCGGCCTGAGGGCAGCCTTAATTTTATTTCCGGTACATCTCTGTTTTGCAAAGTTTAGTATGGAGCTAAAGACCCTTTTTTTCATAGTATTGCGGTGCCCTTAAGGAATGTCTCTGAACTGTCATAAATATTTTTTACTTCTCTATTGTGTAGGACAGACGTTGCATTCGTTTTCTCTTTTCAATTGCCGAGATTCTTTCCAAGTGTAGGGTGTAGCTAGTCTACTTTTTTGTGAATCTCATTGCTCTAATTCAACAAACCCGTTCATAGTTTAGTATGGTATATATATTTTGAAGGTACAAGGGTAAAGGAACATATCTCAGACATTAAAAATAGGAGTGGGTCGAAGTCAGCAGTGTGTGAACACACAATGGGCAAACCAAGCATCTAATTTCCGTTTGATAAACCTCAGATCTACGCTTGTGAAGACAGATACGTAACGAGA